CATCTACAGACGAGCATGCTTTCGAAAATTCGCTTTAGTGACACAGTGCTGAGTTTAGCCCTAATTTAGCGGACCGTCTTTAGGACTTGCATGGGTACCTATTGGCAGAAGTATTAATCGTAGTGCGTGGGCTTTACCTAGTGGCTTCCTATACGTGCCCGTGCATAGTTTAACCATCTAATAAGGCAGGCGGTATTAAATGAGATTATAACTGGGAGAAACTAAGAATGAAGGTAGCAGAGATAATATAGATAGGAGAGCGAGGGGGCAGGGAGGGCAGGAATAGCAAGACAATTTGAAAATACAGTGCCGGCAGGTGGCTTTTCTTACTCGACACTGTAATTGACACCTCCGCACATGTTCAAGTCCGTTTGGCCCCGGTCTTCTCTTTCTTCTTCTTTGTTTGACATTGCATTACACGGCTCGAAGGAGTGTAACGTCATTGGGCGAGATACTCAAGAAACGACAGGATGAAGAAGACAGCAAAACCGGAGAGGCTGTAGTCTAGGGTCACACTGCCGGCGGTGTAGCGCGGCCGCTGCAGCGCGAGGAGCAGCAGTAGAGCGGTGACGGCGGGCGTCTGGATCTGTCCGGGTCCGATGGTATAGCCGAGTATAAGCGTCGCCAGGGTTGCGGGCAGGTAGAGCGCGGGGAGCGGAGCGCGCTCCTCGAGGAGAGGGTAGAAGGTGTCGAGGAAGTGCTCAAGCATGTTATCTACACGGCCTTAACTTCCTTCCTGGTCTAAATCGTGGGAGATTTGAGCATGCGAGGTGGACGTTGCTTGGATTACATACGAAGTATATAATTGTTAAAAACTAACCTAACCTAGGTATTGAAGCCCACTTTGGTGATCCTTTGGGCTGGTAATTCCTGGTCGATACCCCTGATCAGGCGCTAGAATCTGACCCATAATGCCTTCGCTTATTCAGTAAGTTAGATATATGGTTACCATAGCGGTAATATAGGTACCTAATGAAAGTTAAGTAGCCTTTGATTACATATAACAATAATTGTTTCAAAGAAACAAGCCTGCCTCGAGGCCACTTTCAAGGAAAATCTTCCCAACAATACACTTTCCAATGTCACTATGCACACAGCAACTACCTGGGTAGAAAGGTCCGGATACGCCTTTCGATTACGTAAGCATGTTTGGCCCGCCGTGGGAAAGCAACAGTTAGATAGAAGCTAGATGAATTTCGGCTCGGATCACGACACCTGTTCACTTACGCATTCGGCTCTATACTACGGAATGTCTGTCGGAGCGAACAACTATCACGAAAGTGAAGGTTGGACGCTGATTGACTTGGGCGGGTTTCATTATTCCAAACAAACGGGACACTGTTGGATGGGTTACATTAGCTAATCAGTGGGGGTAGCGGGCGAAAGCTCATCTTTCCTTTTACAACATCAATATCATCTCTAACCTAACTGCTAACTGGAGTGCGTACATTGCCCAGACTCATAAATCTAACGAAGGGTTGTCTTAAGCTGCATATATTTCTGAATCGAAAGGACAGTTCCTAGCTAATGAAATCTTTTATTGAAATTTAAATGTCGACCTCGACCTCCCCGCGGCCCTACCCCTCCATAACAGGTACATGGCTAGCAGAGAAGAGTGTCCAAATGTTTTCTGTAGAGATGTCTCCCCGAGAAGCAAACGAATTCCCGGCGACCTCCAACCAACGCGCCGTCCAAATGATCATAGACAAAATAAATGCAATAGGGCGGTCTGGAAGCATCCAAAGGGCCAAGTCCTTAGCGACGGAGGTTTTCCAAGCCTGGACTTTGGTAATGAGCCCCGCGAACTTCATGATGCACCAAGGGCCCTACCAGTTTGTCTTCAGCCTGGTTTTTTCCTCGCTGGTGATTCTATCCAGCGATAGGATTATCCGCGTGGCCCCATATCAGATTTCGGGTGCGGCTGTACGCCCCGTCGTAGCTGAGAACTAAGTCGCCCTTCTCAGATGAGCCATCACTAAGTAGCACCTCGACGCCGTCTGTGTATTGCTTGATAGCCGTTACAGCTATGCCAATTCGAATGTGTGCCTTGCCCGGCAGGCGATCATACAAGAGTTGAAGGTAACGACACCGCTCAAAAGCGAGAACATCTTGGTCGTGTATGTTTTTCACGAGGTACTTAAAGTGAAGGCTGGTAGGAAACAGTAGTAGAGCAGAAAACGATCCCCCAGATGGTGGCCGCCGTGACTGACGGACCTAAAGAAATAAGCTCCTTTCGTGTCATCGTAGTGGGCGCCGGTGTCGCAGGGCTCCATGCATCGCGCTGGTTCCAGAAGGCAGGCATCAACCACGTCGTGCTACAGGGGTGCTCGAAAATTAACATTCGCAAAGGCGCTGGCATCGCCGTCTGGCCGCATGAGGCACGGATCCTCAAGCAGATAGGTTGCCTCGACGCGGCACGAGCTGCGTGCAAGCCCGGTTTACGCTTCAAGATCCGGTGGTCGGTCGGAAAGCTTCTATTCGACAACCCCTTATTCGACCTGAGGCATCGAGAAATGGCTTTCACGCCGACGGCGAATCTACTAATTTAACATCCATTCAAATTGGCAGAGACAGTCCACCTTTCTATGAAGCAAATGGCGTAGGCCCAGAGCCTACCTAAAAAGCCAGCCATTCTTTAGGACTCCTGCCGTAGGTATTCCCTGTAGGATAGTAGGTACCTCCTCGGGTAGCAAGCAAAATCTACCCTTCTTTTATATGTAGCTCAACCATCAGGCTGGTCATGTGAGGGCATTTCCAAAAAGAAATCCATGTCTTGACCTGCTTAGAATACCGAATGCTCTTCCCTGGGTATGCTCGATCTCATACCCGGTGTGATGAACAATACATCACTGGACACACTGCCCCAACAAAGACCGACAGCGAATCCAGCTTCGCAAGGATAGATGGTGTCTGCGATAAGAAGCCAACTAAATTTATCAATTGTTTCTTCCATCCATTTTAATGACGGCTAGCTCTCGGATCTCCCTCCAGCATCCTTTTTCTTCCATCAGTCGTCTCAAGACCCGATCAGAACCTGCCATATTGAAACAAGTGTAAGAACAAGCCGACTCAAAGAATGTGTTCAAAGAATCTCTTCATCGTAACCCGAGCTGTCGGGTTTCTGACTTGGAGCTAGCATGTGCCGATCTTGGACTCTTGTTTGACTGCGAAGGGTTGGACGCCCACATGTTAAGTCCCTTGTTCATCGTAATTGTCGCGTATGACAGCTTTCAGCAATCACGCGGTGAGGGCGTGAGGACATGGCCGTACAATAATTACCATCAGGTGGTGTTAAGGTTATCGTCACTGCGGTCTACGGATCAGCCTTCGCGACCCTAATGATAGTATTGCGGTTTGTGGGGCGTATTTGAAGTAAGACTGTTGGAATCGACGACTGGGTTTCCCTAACCAGTTATGTGTGTATGATTGGAGTTATCGTCACCCACCATACGATGGTCCATTTGACCAAAATCCGCCATACCGACAAAATACAGTATATTCAATAAGCCAACTGTGGTCCTAGCACTATACCCCCATAATTCCAGGCCCCTAAGCGCTAAAGCCCCTTAAAGCCATAGCGTATTCTAGCGTATCATGCCTTATAACTTATAGCAGCCTAGGTATATACTTTAACACTTAGAATTTCTTTTAATAAATATGTTAAATATTTAATAATTATAACGTTTTATAATATATATATTATTATAATTATAGCATTTTAAATATTATATTTTTTATAAAAATAATTATAATTATAATATTATATTAAATTTATATTTAAATTTTAAAATACATTAATTATAAATGCCTTTAAAATTTAAATAACTTATAATTATAAGGTTTATATTATGTAATTATAATATTAATAAATATATATTTTAATTATTAAAAAATATATATTAATATATATTTTATTTATTATAAATTATAAAAAGGGATATATTAAAATACGCTATAATTATAAAAAGCTTTAATACTTAGGGCCTTATAATTATAGGGCGTACTGTGCTAGGACTATAGTTAGCTCCTTAAATATATTATATTTTGTCGGTATGGCGGATTTTGGTCAAATGGACCGCCGTTATACACCTCCTATTTAGTCATATTGGGTATGCCGGAGCGCCTCCGGACGACTTTAGCCCCCAGCAGCTAAGACATTTCTTGGTCGTGAGCAGTGTCTTTTTTAGCCCCCCCCCTTGAACTATCGTACTCTCGAGCGTAAGCTAACTTCCCGAATCAGCTATTATACTCGACCCTTCAAGATCATTACGGCATGTTTTCTGGCCTTCTCATCGCATGGTGGTGTTGCATACTGTTCATGCAGGTCATTTTGTGCAAACCAGTCGAAACTTTCTGGGTACAGGCAGAATCGAAACACTGCTTCGACAGACTGAAAATGAACCAAGCTACCTCCATCTCCAGCGTGACCTGGGATGTCACCCTGTTGCTTCTCCCTCTCCCGATGATATGGGAGGTGCCCGCCACACGGCTATACGAATACATCAGGAGAAAGGCGATTCTTATAACGTTGATTAGCGAGGGGACCGCTATCCGCTAACCGGACAGCTGGAACATCTGCCATATAAAGGAGATTAGGATGTGAGGTAAGGTGAGATGAAGATGGCGGACGATCTATCCCCGAGTACATTAACAGTCTCTGATATATCAGCTAGGGGCAGACCGGGCACCGGGCACCAGGTACCGGCTGATGCGTAAGGCACCACATCACATACCAATACGAGCAGAGCAGAACGAGGAAGGCTTCTGTTACGACGGAGATGTCACCGATCGAGGGATAGCAGTTTCCAATTAATGAAATGAAAAGAAAAGATATATCTTCAGATTGGGACGGGCAAGCTGCCTGGCCAGACGCAGTTGAGTCTGTACTATTACTTTCCACTTCACCAACACCACCACAACCCACCTACGGTAATCCAACAATACATTAGCCTGGTTTGTCTCTTGAGATGAAAATAGAAGTTAAGGAAAAAAGTAAAAGATACCGTTGCGGGGGTTTGAACCCCGGCCCCCAGAAATTCAAGATTTACGTTGAAAACCTGGTATCCTAAACCACTGGACGACAACGGTCAGGGACAGGCGAACATCATCTTCGATTAACATGCTGCACCGTTAAGGTGATGAATAAGCTATACGTTTGTTGCTCCTTCCAAACACCCACATTGACGTCAGTACGGGTAGACACAGGTAAACCCTATACGTGGGCAGCACGATCGTCTTCTTTACCCGATATGGCCAGGGATAGACTGGATGGAATGCGTCTTTATATCCTATTAGTCACCTGCCTAGGTGCCTACCTCCTACCTCTCTCTACCTGACTTATATTTTCAGGAGAGACCTCACCTAGATGGTAACCTACCCAGGTACCTACTCGAGGCAGCTAAGAAACTACATATGTACATACCTATGAAAGTATACCATGGACACCTACATACATATATGTATTTAGCATGCGAAATCAGTCGCAGCATAGTGTCGAATGGTGTAAATCGCGCCAGATATACCCAAGTAAATTAATCGCATGCGCAGTCTAACTATCCAAGGGGAAGCATCCGGTTGCATCTTATTATGTGACACGACAGCATGTCAGGTACGTGCTGAGCAAACTGCAGGTGAGTTGTGCCTTTGGTCTTCGCATTGTCAGTCGAATGAATGACTTCGTTTCGTGGACCTTGTTCCCCACGTGGATTGTGTATTATACTGTATGCTCGTGTTAGGTGCATGCTACAAACAATGAATTATTTGGAGTGGCATGTGATATAGGGCACCACGTAGTAAATTTTTTTTTTAAAAAAAAAATCGTAACCAACCACACAACTTGGAATTCTTTAGATGAGGAACATTTCAAGTTGAGGCTCCCTTCTAAGATTCTTCCAAGACATTCTAAGACCCGGTAAGACACCGAGTGCTGGGGGATTTAGCTGACCGCCTACTGCAATTGAAATTCTGCCGCATACCTAGGTACCTACGAGACAAGCCCATCAATACGCGCCTCTACCGAATCCATCGCGTCAACAAAGCATCGAAACATCTTTGCGCTTTTGCATCTAAAGAGATTCTTTTCGACGTTGCATCGGAGAAACTGGATTCTGTAACACCTCCAACCACTTCTTTACTCTTTTAACTTTAACTCACAATCCCTGCTCGACCTGCATCGCATCAAGCCATGCCTCCCAAGAAGAGTGCCGTCCCCAAAAAGGGAGCCGAGAAGGGAGCCGAAAAGGGAGCTGTCACAAAGATCGGCGCTGCGTCTAAGCAAGCTACCCGCAACACCAGCTCCCGCCCTACTGCAACCAAGCGCCGTCGCGATGACGACGACCAAGATGACAGCGCGCCTACTGCGCGTCCTGTCGGTCGCCCGAAGAAGGCCGCAAAACTCAATGCTACCACCGCAGCGCCTAGCCGCGGCAAGAAGGTAAATGGTACCGCGCCTCGCACCGCACGCAGCGCTAGCGCAGCTACCCCTACTCCTACCCCCATCAACACCAGACCCTCCGAGAAGTTGAACGTCTTCGTCTTTGGCGAGGGCCGATTCGGCGAGCTGGGCCTCGGCAACCAGAAGCACAAGGGCAAGAAGCCCATCGACGTGCGACGCCCGCGCATCAACCACAACCTGCTTGCCGACAAGGTCGGCGTCGTCCAAGTCGCCTGCGGCGGCATGCACGCCGTGGCTCTGACCGCAGACAACAAGATTCTCACGTGGGGTGTCAACGATCTCAAAGCGCTGGGTCGTGATCCTGTTTTTGAAGACCCGGGTTCCGACAATGACTCAGATGCCAGTGATGAAGATGATGACTATCGAGGCCTTGACCTAGGCGAAAGCACCCCCGGCGAGATCGATCTGAGTGCTTTGAGCGAGGTACCTCAGTGGGTCCAGGTCGCGGCCACTGATTCTGCGACATTCGCCCTGACCGAGACAGGCGACGTGTATGGATGGGGAACTTTCAAGGTAATTCATAGCAGCTGCATACTGCCTGGGTATTTTCTCACTAACTCGTTTTCAGGGCTCTGATGGTGTTTTGGGCTTCTCTAAGGACGTCAAGTTACAAGCGACGCCTGTGCAGGTAGTAGGACTGAAGAATATCACATCTTTGGCTGCCGGCACAAACCACATGCTGGCTTTGGATAAGGACGGAAAGGTATTCACGTGGGGCCACGGTGGCGAGTTCCAGCTTGGTTGGAAACCGGCTTCAAGACATGCAGGACCCAAGGCAACGCTCGAACCTCACGTCTGCAGCCGTTTCACCAAGAAGAACCACGCCGTGAAGATCGCCGCAGGTTCCTACCACAGCTTTTACATCGACAACCACGGCAAACTCCACTCCTGGGGCTTGAACAACTTCTCACAGACCGGACATGCTGAACATGCGGGCCAGGACAACGCCATCATCACCACGGCGAAGGCCGTCCGAGCTCTTCGCAATTACCAGATCGTTCACGTTGACGGAGGCGAACACCATTCCGTAGCGTGCAGTGCCGACGGCAAGCTGTTTGCCTGGGGCAGAATCGACAGCCACCAGGTTGGCTTGCCGAAGGATGCGTTCAACGAAGAAAACTCTATAATGGGTGCGAATGGAAAGCCGCGCATCCTCGTTCAACCGACAATCATCCCTGGTAAATTACTCCCTCTTAGTTTCTTGCAGCTTCGCCTTTGCTAACTAGCCACACAGACGTGTCCGCTTCCTTCGTCGCTGCCGGCACCGACACGAGCATCGCCATCACACCCGACGGCCAAGCCTACAGCTGGGGCTTTTCGGAGAACTACCAGACCGGGCTGGGAACAATCGAGGACGTCGAGATTCCCACTATCATCGACAATTCCGCCGTGCGCGACGAGAAGCTGGTATGGGCCGGCTGCGGAGGACAGTACTCCATGTTAGCTTCGACGAGTTGAAGCTGGGGGTTTACTTCTTGATATACGTTCGGCTTGAAGCTCCTTGAGTGAGCTCTGCCAAGACCGGCTCCCCGAGGAGAGTCTAACTTTATGTTTGTACGTTTTGCCGATACCCGCCTCTATTAATCAGCTCCAAACGGGCACGTTAGGCATCCTGTATATTATCCTACCCTAGCATGTCTGTTCTCCGAATTGCAGGCTGGCCTGCAGTGGGGATAGAAGAGGGCCGTAAACCCCATCACCTGAATAGTAAAAGATAATGAACGCCGAGGCGCTTCAAGATATAAGGCTCGTACCCCATCAGTGATTTCTAAGAAAACTGTAGAAATAGCAAGAGGGGCAGGAGAATCCAGTGATTAGATTAATTGTCCATTTGAAAATACGGCGCCGATGGCTTTCCATAGCTTACCTAGGTACCGGTACACTATAGCTACCCCTCACGGGACATGCGAGTCATTAGACCTCGACGGTAAATTCAATTTCCCGTTATCGACCCCCTACCATCGTCCCCCAACATCCACTCAGAACTTGTTCACCTCGTCGTTGACGACGTTGTTGATCATCGGGTCGGCACCGCCCGGGACACCCTTCTTCTGGGCCTCTTGGTCAACCACTGGGGGGTAGGCGGTCCCCATACGTTAGTCATTTGAGATTTCAGAGCAGAAGAAAAGTGTATTGGAACTTACAAGAGTCGACCACGGTGTCCTTGGTGCTGCTACCTTTGCCGCCCTGCTGCGTGTTCTGATCGGCCGCACTATCGTGATAGATCAGCTACCGGAAGACTTGTACTAGGAAGGTCATGATTAGGGTAAGGGCGTGTACGTCTGGCCGGTAACGGCGTCCTTTGCCTTCTTGAGCTTGTCCATGGTGGTAGATATGTGATATCTTAGGTAGATTGATGTGTAGGTAGATGCTTGGGAGCGTTCCTGACTTAGGTTCTTGGCAGAGGAGGGTCGAACATGCGGGCCATAACCAGGCCCTTTAAATAGATTTAACGACTGTAGGGAGAGCTTGTGAGAATCATGTTAACAAGCTAGGATCTATGAAACTACCTAAGGTTTACGAGGTACAGCACGCATCGTCATGAGCCAGGACTTGATCTATGCCCTGGCCGTGGAGTGCTTTAACTAACGTACCTGTGACGACAGACGTCACTCTTATTTAAGGTTCCCGCATGACCGCAGCTAATAGTTAAAGTTTGATCGCGATTTTCTATTCATCTCGGTACACCAGGAACGCGCGGTGATTGCTGGTAGGTAGACGCAAATGCGGCACCGAGGGTTCTGAATATTCGGCACCTGACCACCAACTTCAGGCACTAGTTTAACATGCTTTTGGTTCGCTCTTGGAATAAACTCTTGAGCTTAAGTAAAAGGGTACATGCTGCTCTAAAGTTCCAAAATGGGCGAGCAACTGACTGGCGGACAAGAACCACGGGCCTTCTGAGAAGATAACTCATCAGAGCGGGTACTTTCAAGATGTTAGTATTAACCTAACAGAAGGTACACATCAGTTCATGTTGATAAGACAGCCAAGTCTCAATGATACCATAGGTAGATTCCGTCACTGCTATCATATAAAATCGGGGCTGCGCTGTGGCCCCCTTATTATATCGTAAACGTCATGCGGGAAGCTCCCATATCGTGAACTTGTTAGATCCCTGTAGATCCCACGTCATAGGCTTGTTTGAAGGCATCTCCGATGGGTTCCGCTGTTCGTCGAGCTCGTGTCGTGCACTTAGTGACGCACGAATATGACGATGATCGTTATCTTCGGAAGTGTGTCGAGAAGGGCATGATGAGTAACGCATCTTTATTCCGCGCACAGTCATGTAGGTAGCAAAAGCTCCTAGTATTATAGCGCCCGTAACTCCTCCCACGATACCGGCAATGGTGCTCCAGGCCAACGGGTTGACTTGGGGGGACGAAGACTGTATCGCTGTAGCTGAACTGGACTGTGTAGAGACAGATGAGTCGGTTTGCGTGGGAAGAAACGACGTACTAGAAACGCCAGCCGTCGAAGTTCCCGAAGATGAAGTGGCTGAATTTGGATGTCGGTTGAAGTGATCCGCTGCTGAGTTCAGATGTTGAAGTAAGTGGTGGCTGATCTAAAGATTGATTACTGGGATTTGAGTCTGTCTGCACTGCCTGTCGTATTTGCACTCCGTACGCCAAAT